TGAATTAGCTGTTCTATGCTATACTGAGATTTTCTTTATTAATAATCCTGCTAATCAATAGAGATATTTCTAACTAGATGTAAGGCATTGATTAAAGTTTAATATTGGATGATATTATTATAATTCTCAATCTCTATTCCTTATATGTACTAATAGTTTCTTATTTTTATCTTTCTATATTCTTTGCTTTTAGAATAATGTAACTAGCAAGCTTTTGATTCAAAGGATTAATATAGCTAGATATATCCAGATAGAGCGTACTAATCGGATCATTGCAAGGAGTACAGATCTTATTAATCATACTACTTTTCTTCGCAGAGTATTATCTACTAAAAGCATTTCACTCTGTAATTTAATCATGAACCTACATCCAATATAGTTAAACTTTCCGCTGCAGCCTGTACAGATCTAAGCTGTATCAGCTTCTGTATAGGATTATTGATTGATGTAGGAAATGTTGGAAAAAGGAATTCGTTTCTTCGTAATATTAGCTTGCAGACTCAATGCATCGTTCACTAGCTCACAATCAGAACTCATACTACTCCTCCTCTATCTACCCATCTTCTCTCTACGAGAGGTCTCAGGTATAATCCAGAATTCAGACATAATATACAGCCTGTTATATAAGCGTGATAGATAAAGGAAATAAAAGAGCTTAGCAGGGAAAAAGAGTGCGCTTGTTTATAGGGTAAACTTGCTGCTCTTATTGATCCTTACGAACTGTAATGCAAACAGCCTTGAGCTACTAGCTTGAATAGCTAAGTTCACACTTACCGCACCATTGAACCAGAACTAGGGCGCCGTCGCCCTCGAAAGAAAAAGGAACAAACAGCTGCTGAAGCAATAAGCAAGAGCTCATACAATCCAAGCGTACCTGTGCAGATGAGAACAGCAAACTAAGGCTATACGGGTATAAGAACAGGGTGAAAAACCTGTCTTAGATCTGTTCAAAGGGTTTAAAATTGAAAGAAAGAGAAAGGATGCTTCATTGTTGCTTATAGCTTAAAGAATTTGAAAAGTGAGTGGTATCCTTTATATGTATGAGAACCCTTGACTCACTGTACTCCACATCTCACGGACTACCACCCTGGCCACCACAACAACATATCTATCTTGATAGCATAATCAAACTCTATTCAGTTCGGAAAATCTACTAAGAGCTTAATAGAATTAAAGCTATAAAGCTTATTTTATAGAAGCATACGAAGCTTCTAAGATCTATTAGGAAAACTGAGAAGCTTAATATTACTACTTCTTAGTTTCTAATGCAATGAAGCTTCAGTAGCACATTCAGGCCTAGCTATTTGCTGTATTAATAAATTGATTATTAGTTCTGAACTAACAGATATTTCTTGAGATAAAGAGAAGTAAGGATTGATAGGAATTTCGGATAAGAGTTGATTTAATTCTAAGCTGATATTATATTCTCTTGATAAATGCAAGATTGAGCTAGCTGAAGCTGTGCTCTCTTGAAATTGTTATTTTAATGAAATTAGGCTGAGTGCTCTACTTGCTCTGAAATCCTTCAAAGCAAAAGCTAATATGTTCCTTCTCATCCTATCGAGATCGCTTTCAATAAACAGTTCAAGCAAGTTTGCAATTCCTTTTATAAAGAAAATAATATTCAGCTTGTAGATTATATTTAGTACTCTACTAGCTTTTATTTGTACAGCTTTGTATTCTTAAAGTAAGATACTTCTTTTTAATAGCTGATCAGGATATTACATATAGTTGCTATATTCCAGCTTATAGGAGAAGGTCTGTGTCAGGGTAAAAAGAGCACACAAGTGAGGTAAAGGGATGTGAGCTGCTCCCAAGCCGCTCTGTTAATGCTTTCATTCAAAGGAACTACTGAACCTATCTCCCTCCTCCTCTTTTTCGCTGCTGAACTTATTATTCCCCTTTCCCTTATGTATACAATTGGCCTGGACTAGATAAGATAATAATGGCCTGATAGCTATGCAGCATCGTACGAGAGCGCTGCTTCGGAGCAAAGCTCTTGCAGCAGCTCTGGACTGCTACCAGAGGTTGCAAGAGCTACCTATTTCCTTTGTATGCATACAAGCTCTAACAGAATCCTCTCTCTTCCAGGTTTCTATTCCCAGGAACTACGTACCCAAGCTGCTCTTACGCAAACCTATAGATCCCTTCATACTTATCAATAATTCTCTCATCAGTTAGTCCTTGTTATCAGAATATCTTATCCTAGAAGGCTAAGTTTCCTTCTGCTAGTAAATTATATAATATCGTAAAGGTTGCTCTAGCGCTGGCGCAGCGCAGATGCAGCGTAGTTACAAAGACTGCACAGCTTAGCGCAGTCATTCATGCTACTGCAATCTCGGAATAGCTTCTAGAGCTAGATAACAGGGTTGCTTGGGATATATGCGCTAGTAGAGCACTGTTATCCCTTATTTCGCCCTCGCGCCTGAACCCCCCTCTCTTTTCTCTGAAGCATCGCGTGGAAGCTGATTCATCGCAGATGTTTTCTTTTACTGCTGTCAACGCATCTAAGGAGGCTGCGCTAGCCCCTGAGATCTCTGAGGATCAGACTGCTCCTGAAGCTTCGAAGGCTAGCAATACCTTCTTCAGCGCTGTTGATGCAGTGCCCCCCCCTCGCCACCCTCTGCCCTCGGATGCCCCCGCTGCTCCCGCATTCTCTCCCTCTCGTAGCCGCTGCAGCAATCAGCATAATGACTGCAAGGCCCCCGCCAGCAAGAAGCGCAAGAGAGCCTCTCCCTCGCCCTCGCCCTCTCTCTCGCCCCCCCTCGAGTCTCCTGAGACTCCTGCCCCGAAAGCCCCGCTTCCCATCACTCCCACAGCTTCTGTAAGTACTCATATATATCGTGTATACAGCGCTGCACTGATATTGCTAAGCTATCAAGAGGAAGAAGATTCTCAAGAAACCGGGTGCAATGCATCCTTCTGCTAGCTAATGCCAGGAATGCATGCATTGCTGCATTCAGAAGCCTGAGGTTTAGTACTGGGATTAGTTAGATATACTAGTTTTCTTGCTTTACAAATCCTTATATTAATTCATTATAAGCTCCAATGCTCATTGTTTTCAGTATACTTGCAGCAACTACTCCTACCAGCTCATAAATAGTATTATCTCTACTTCCTCTTATTTTTCGCGCTGCTTACAAGCTACTATAGCTTCCTTACAAAGCGGATTTAGCTCTGAACAATGCCTGCTCCTTTGATCGGGAGCTGACTAACAAGAATTTGTAGAATATTCTCTAGCTAGTACGCTCTGTAAGCGCTGCTTCTGCACCAGTAATCAGCGCATCTCCTGCCTCTGTTATGAGCAGGGAGTTGATATTGCTGCTTTAGCGCAGTATTAGCGCTCTGAAGATGCTAGCTAAAGCAGCTTGCAAGCTTTCTAAAGCAGCTTCTGAAGAGAGAAGATAACTTCTTTAAAAACTCTGGATAGATAAGCGCACTTTTATAGCATAGGAAATAACTAGCACTAATTGCTACAATACAGAAGCATTGCTAACTCTCTGAATGAATAAGCTATATAAGAGTTTTTAGTTTTCCAATCAAAGATTAAGCAGCTTCTGCACTGCATTATTACTGCTTCAATTGTACCTCATATTCTTTAATTAATAATTCATTATTAATAAATGCTTGTAATTTCCATAAATTCTCATTGCTGCTATATCTCTTTTAATATATAAGGAATTAGCAGTTTCTAAGTAGCTCTTGATATGCTAGAATAGCTTCTATCTTCTAATACATCTCTTTCTTGAGATTAATATCAGAATGCATCTCAAGCTCTTCTCCATCTTATTTATTGAAATTCTTTAAAGCTATAATTAGAAAGATATTATAAATCTTGTATTTTGCTAGCAATTCAAGCTTATACGCTAATTCATGCACTCCTATAATCTCTAGCACTCAAAAAGAGCTAAGATATTTGTTTGCTAATTTATTATTAATGCTTTTTTAGCATAAATGCTTAGCTAAAACGAGAATACAATTGCTAAGAGAGAATCTTTTATTAGTATAGCATTTATTATACTACCTAGTATATACTTGTCTTGCATAATTAAAGCTTTCCTGAGCTTCCTTATAAGCCTTAGTAAAATCTTTAAGCTGCTCTGAGATCTTGGAAATATAGCTTGAGCGCTGCATGTTAATATCTATTAGTTTTGTTAGTTGGAATCCATAGAGCAATATAGCAGATAATAATTCTATTCTGCTATAGTCTATGCTATTATATGCTGCCTATACAAGGAGTAAGCGCTGCGCTCAATCCGCTTGAGAAAGGCTATAATAAGTACAGAGATATTATTCGAAGTTCTAATTCTGCTGCTCGATCTATTCATCTATTTGAGGATGAAATGCAGTACTTAGATGCTGCTTAGTCTTCAGATAGAAGCAGAAATCAGTTCAGAAGTAGCTTATAAAGAAGCTTCTTCTATCTGATATAATGCTTTTAGAAATGCTATAAAACTGATATATATGCTACAGCATAATTGTAATGAGCACTGCAGCAATCCGAAGATTCCAAAGTATACAAAGGGGGTTTATGCTAACAAGAGCGGTGTCAAAGTGCCAAGTCCTTGAATACGGAACCGTACAAGTCTCAATAAGCGATGCAAGTATTCACTGCCTTTGGGGCTATCAGAGTAGAGAGTAATCTGATACTTAGATTGATAACTGAAGAGCTATGTACTGAATCTATCTAATGGTAATGAATGTGTTCTTATATATCCAGCTCTTCAGTATAGATATGTTGGATAGCAATATATCCAAGTTATCCTGCTAGCTTTGGATAGCACATATCTGAAGCTATCCTCCCTGATTGGTCGTACCCATAACCCTAATTCTGGATTATATAATTAATGCTTTATCAGAACATTAAGTCCTTAACACCTAATCTCTGTTATCTGTAACCTATTCTGTAATCTGCATGTTGGATAGATCATAACATCATTTCCCTTCTATCAGTCGTTATTCCCAATGATCTTTTGTAAGTATTCTAGCAAATCCTCTATATGCATGATCTTGCCTTCCTAATTGAGATATCGAACAGAATCAACAAATCTCGTTCTCATGCCGAGAAGACTAGACAAAAGGATTCTCTTCTTTCCTTGGTTCTTCAAAACGCTATCATCATGCCTTCTTGTTCCTTCTATAAGAGTCATAGTATTCAGTCTTGTCAAGTCTCCATCAAGGATTCCTCTCGCTGCGCTGAATGTATTCGCTTAGGTCGCTCTCGGTGCGATATTCAAGGGCTGAGCGCAGCGGAAATTCGTTGGATAGGCATTCAATACCAACGCCTGGAGAACCAACTCGAGAGTGCTAAGGAGCAGCTGCGCAATGCTGCTGCAGAGATAGGATGTTTGCAGAAGCAGAAGCGTTTGTGGTTTGAGAGGATGATAAAAGCTATTTGTTGAGGCCTTTCCAGTGTAGAGGAGTTGGAATATAAGGAGGCTGAGGAGAAGCAAGCTCGCATTGCTGCCGGGATTCGTTCTATAGTTACAGAGAAATCTGCTGTAGTTGCTGGAGATCCTTCTTTTGAGGGTTTTAACTGGAATTCCGTGAACGTAGGGAATGCAGTGATGGATTGGTTAGGTTTCCTGGAGAATAAGGCTTCTGAGAGCTCTGTATCTCGGTCCGGGGCGGAGCGATCATCTTAGGTGCTGGTTTTTCTTTTTCAATATTCAGCTACCTTTTCCTAAGCATTTTTAACGTTTTTCCGCAGTTTTCATGAGTTTTCACTCGCTGAGTAGCCTTTTCATTTGATAAGGTATTCCCTTGTATTATCTGTGCTTCTATGCTTAAGAATCTTCTCTACTTCATACTCTGATTCATTATTTTCCACTTCTGCTATATTGTTTATTAGTATTCCCTGTACTGCTAATTCCAGCAGTAAGATATGGAAAACTGAGTATATCCTCATTCCATAAGATAATGCTAACTCGTAATTAATCAGGAAGATTTGTTATAAGATTTTGAATAGTTTCAACTTTTTGTAATCGAGTTTATTGCTAAGTCTAGTTGTTTTAATGTTTTTTCGAAGTAAGTAAGCTTTATCTCCCTTCTGTAGGATTAGTTTCTCAATTCTCTTGGAGTTTGCATATTATATCATTCATTCTTGAACAAATTGTAATTCTGATTGGAATTCCTTCTGAACTTTCTTAATCTTCTTAATCCTATCCTAAAGTCAAAGTATCCTCAAGATAGAGAACAGTTTTTTTGGGTAGGAGAATTTTCGGCGCTAGCAAATGCAGGGAGTAGCAGATCGTTTTCTTTTCTGCAAACTATCCTCAACTCAAATTTTAAGCTTTCTATCTCATTTCAATTTGAAGTCTGATCGCCTCCCTTAAAACTCTATCATTTCTGAATTTCAAGTTCTCATCATCTCTTTTTCTATTTCAATTGCAGAATTTGCATTTCTAAGGTAAAGATTAAGAAAGTTAGACCCGCATTTCTATCCGTATTGAAAACAACCAATTATCTAGCATTATTTTTAGAGCTTATTCCAACCTGTATTCCTAATCTGCTATTCTAATCAGAATTCAGCTATAGCTAATTCTATTTATTCTTTGTTTTTCTACTCTCTATTGCATATTGTAATATATAGAGAATGCTAGTTTAGTATTGTAGCTGATGAGGTAGCAGCGCATCTAGCTTTAGCATGCTATAGAATGCTTAGGAAAGAGCAACAGGCTATTGCAAGCTGCATTCAGAATCTGCCTAGCATCTATCATACTTAACAAGATCTGCAGCATTTCCAGTTTCCTAATCCAGCAAGCATTGCTATTCCGCTGCTTAGCAATATTCAGACTAATAGCCTTATCTATCAAGAATACTCTTTCATTACCAGACAGGCTTATAAGATGCGAAACTACTACTGCCTCTTGCATGGATGAATAAACTCCTGCACAGGTAGCTGCTCATCTGCTCAGAAGATAGCTTTCCCCGTTCCATAGCGAACGCAGATATGCTGCCAAAGGCTCTTTCCGAGCCAGCAGGCCAGCAGATGGTTCGAGATTCAACGCTAGAGCAGGCCTGAGGATAGCTAGCCTGGCATTCTAGAGGATCCGAAGCAGCTGATTACAGCATCCTTCCGCCAGATACAGCAGCAGCTAGCTAACCCAACAGATCGAATCATTCAGGAAGGAAACAATCAGCTGAAGTTCAACCTCTGGCTCCGAAGGATAGACTGAGCAACTCATCTGCAGGAGCTAGATCTGATCAGAACTAAGAAGCTGATCTCGCTGATCCGGGATAATAAGCTGATCCTGCAGGCTCTCTAGCAGAGCTTTCAGCGCAATGCTCAGCAGGCTTACCATACCGCAGTTGCATTTGTTATCAGCTATTCTATCCTCTTCGAGATCAATCAGAAGAATAAGCATATCAAGCTTAGACAGCTGTTCAATAGCCAACTCGAGAGCAGTTCATAGCAGCGATATACGGAGATCTAGCGCTGCATTCTAAGCTATATTGTACGGATATAAGCTCTCAGCTCTAATCAGAAACCTCTCTATCGCTTTACTACCGAACAGAGCGCTCTTTATATCTGCCTCCTGCACCAGCTTGAAAATACAGCTGGGATTCCTTCTGCTACAGCTGCAGCGCGCTAGAATAAAGCATGCTTGAACTTTGTAGTTCAGCTTCTCGATCATCCTCTTCCAGATGCTGAATATAAGAATGCTCTCCTTAGCATTCTTGCTATTCTCAGTATCCGGGCAGATAGTGGATAGGAAATATCGCTTAATTATACTTTTATCTACTCTGCTATTATTAAGCTAGCCTGCATGCTTGTAATCCTTCAGGCTTATCTCGAGCGGAAGGAGAAGATGAACAAGAAGCTAGCTGTGCTATTCCAGGGAACTTTGCGGGAAGAAGTACTGGAGCATTGCTGCAGGCTCTTCAAACTCCTGCAGCTAAGAATCTTCCGATTTATAATAACCACCAGCTCTGAGACCAAGCTTACTTCTCTCAACTGGATCTTCGAAGCTAGATCCTACAGCCTCAAGATCCGCTATACTACTGCTGTTCAGAGCAGGGTAGACTGGCGAGGGAATCTTATTTCCTATTGTAACATTCAGCTGCGTACTGATCAGATCTCTGATATGATTCACAATCTCCTCAGCTTAGCACAGCAGAGCCTTGCTGAGATGCTCGAATCGCTAAATCTGGAAGCTCTGTTCCAGATTAACTAGCCTTCGCTTCAGGATAATTATTATAAAGACTAGGTTAGCTATTCCTTTCTCGCTGATCGCTGCAACTAATGGCCTGTAGACAGCTAGCAGTGGCTTCTGGAGCGTATCCTGGGCAGCACAGAGCTGTATGCTACATAGTTTGATAAGCACAGCTAATAGCTCCAGGCTTCTGCTATTAGCCAGTTTCGCTCCCGAGCGGAGAGATTTCGTAAGCAGATCCTCCTTCTTCTGCATTTCTCTGGAGGCTAGCCAGCCTGCACTACTGAGATTCTCAAGCTCTGATTAGAGAATTCAGCATATGGAGGCTTTCGAAATATCTTTCTTTATAATGAGCTGGTTTGTTTTGTTATTTTTTATTATAAGAGCTACCGAGCATCTGATCAGCTTAAGATTATCTACCGATACCTGCTGTGCGAGGTAGGCGCTCTTCTTGTCTGGTATCTCTGGCTGGCTCTTCCCTTCTAGCAGCAGATTGAAGAGCTTCTTGGAGCTGGCTAGATAAGAAGCTCTCTGCTCTGGGCTGATCAGATCCTCCTGCTAGCAAACTCAGAAGAAGAGAGGGAATACAGCTTCTCAGCTTCTAGCTCTCAGCTATAGCTTGCAGACCGGATGAGACGTCTTCTTCAGCAGTACAGCCTGCAGCTAACAGGTATAAAGCTTACAATCAGTGCTTGGCAGCATATTGCGATTATTATTGCTCGTTGATATCTTGAGGAAAGCTATTAAAGCAATATGCAAGGCTAGCCTGAGAGCAGCGGAGATGATCTGATTAGTAATGATGAAGAAGCTGATAATATTCTTAATCTGCAAGCTGAGTACAGTATAGCTGTAGCGCATATAGTATACGGAAGAGAGCTGCAGCTGAGCCTGTTTGAAACAGCTGTTCAGAGAGACTAGTTTTGAAGAGCTAGCATTCAGTAGCATCGCTTTCTCGGATTTCAAAGCTATTCTATCTCTATAATGCTTTCCAAGCGAAAGAGAGAGATTTTTGAGAAGGAATAAGAGCAGAGCTAGCTATAGCGCTTTCGTTAGCTATATGAAACTGATCTTCTTAGCTAATTATAACAGATGATTAGAGCAGAAGCTTAGTTTCAAGGCAACTAGAAGCTTGTTTTCCGTGCAATTGCTCGAGAAGAGATCTCTATTCTGCAGATTGCTAGCATAAGCAGTAGAAAAGCTTTTTCCTTTTTGCTTCCAGCATACTATTCATTCCAGGGCATAATAATTGTTATTACTCTGCTTATTGCTCTTCAGGAAGATCTATTTCAGAGATGCTAAATCTATTAGATTAATATATTTATATGAATCTCATTCAAGCTTAATTATACTACTGCTATTATCTTTATTTCATCTGAATCTGCTATCTCTAAGCAGTTCTTCAGCTTTATTAATTGCTTATATGCTTGAGAGCAGCTTGACTGCATTGTAATAGATGAGTACTATATTGCTCTTGATGCAAATAATATCTTTCGATTAAAACTTCAAGAGCTTGGGTCTGCTATTGTAGCGTTTGGTATACAGCGGATCTTCCTTATAGCTATACTATCGCCAAAGGATGAGGCATCTCTCTTTCAGGCCCTATGTATCTCTGAACTATTAGTTTTTCGAATATCTATTATTTGTAAGAATATTCGCTATATTATTCAACAGATCTCTTCTGATTAGAAAGAAGCTTCTGTCTGCAGAGAGGTAGAGAGAATCCTTGCTAAGATGAAGAAGGGAAGAGTGATTATCTATAGCAGCACAGTTTGCTAAATAGAAAGCCTTGAATCTGCTCTGAGATATGAAGTTTATTACAGCAGAGTTGCTAATACTTCAAGCAAGATTGTAATTCTATAATAATGAATTAATAATTACAATTGCATAATTGTTGCAATTAGTGCATTAGAGATGAGTCTGAATATTCCTGATATATATGTGGTTATTCATATAAAGCCTTCAAGAAATATGCGAGACTATGCTTAAGAAAGCGAGCGAGCAGGCTGAGATAGCAAGTTCTTTCAAGCAACTCTTTTCTGAAGTAAATATCCGCCTTGAAATGCTAGCTCTGAGATAAGCCAATATCTGTATATAAAGAGATATTAATATATCCTTCTCGATTAGATTCTTGATAAGCAGTTCGATCGAATGCAATGCATGCTAGATAAGGTTTCCTGCAATTACTACAAGCTAGCTAGCTAGAAGCATAGGCTGAATTCTGATTAGAGGCTTAGCAGCAAGCATTT